TCCCATCTGCCTTCTGCTCCCCTGATCCAGAATAGCCCTCTGAAACACGTTCTTCAATCTTTACAAGTAATATATTTCTGACATGTGGATTACTCTGTGTGTAGTATGACCTCTCTGTTCCAATAGCCAAGTTTTATCCTGCTCTACTTGCTCTTGCAATTCATCACATTTTAGCAAGGAAAAACTGTTAGAGAGAATTGCTTTGAATGTTGTAAATTTTTTGTTCACACTCTGTCCTCCGTATTGATATTTCATTCTTTCTCCATTATGGTCCTTGCTGACTTGTCTAATATGACACAATTTGGTAAAGGAACAAACAGAGGTATTACTCAAGCTTAAAAATTGGTTATGTACAGAACAGCTCTCAGTTACCGAAGGCTCTTCAGCTAGTTGCCAAATAATGATAATAATGGATAACGTGTCTTGTGGACAGCTATGAGCAGGCATGATTTGAAACACAATACGTGTCCACACACTTTTGTCCACTGCACAACCCAGGAAGTGAGTACTTTCACTGGCCCCTTCTTACAGATGAGGGGCTGAGTGTCAGAGAGGAACAGTGACATGCCACGGCCACAGCTTCAGAAAGTCAACGGAAAAATTCCATTTTCTTTCCATTTCATTTTCCCATGAATTTTTTGAAGCCTCCTCATACAGGCAGGAGGCAGGGCCAGAATAAATGGATGAAAGGGTTCTGATTCCAGAGCCTAGATTCTTAGACACTACATTAAATGTAGTTTTTTGCAAGCAAGTTTACTGTCATGAATAACAGAAGAAATAGAGTTGGAACAAAGTGACCATATTAGGATAGCCCCAAATCTTTATCACTTATGTACTGGTTTTGCACATTTTCCCTTTTTAAAATAGCAGAGCATAAAGCTCATTGTGCCTTTTAATGAAAGTGTCTTCTAAATTAGAAACAGAGTGAGTCTTTAATGAAGGTTTATTAAGACAGGCACCTGGGCAGGGCTCCTACAGACCAGGTGTTGTGCTGCGTCACCCCTCTGGGATGGGAGGGGCTTTCCGAGCTAGTGTTGTTCATTCACATAGAACTTGAAGTTCACAAAACCACCTGATAAACAACCATTGTCTTTGCTTCTCCTGCACTCACTGTGAAGTGGGAGGGCAGAAACCACCCACTTCTAAGATGAGGCAATGGCCTCAGATTCATGTCTTCCGGAAGGTCACACACCTAGACAATGGCAGTGCTGACTTCTGATTCCTAGTCCAGGAATCTTTTTATTGCATCATGCTAGGCTTGAGGGAAATGCATGCTGATAAGCCTCTTGCAAGACACTTGGCTGTATTCAGTAGCCTTGCTCATTCATTGCTCCAGTCTGGTTTTACAGGTATAGTTGGTCTGGATATCGGAGGGCCTCGAAGCCAGGACAAAGAGTTTGAACTTCATGTGGTAGTTGATGGGAAGCTACTATAGATTCTTGGTCTGTCTTAGGAAGAGTTGTTTGAGAGTGGCAACTGGGATGCATTTAAGCAGCATTAGCATCATCTGGGAACTTGTTAGTAAGGTACTGTTTTTGTGTCTACCTGGGACCTACTGAATCAGAAAACTGCGTGGGGCCAGCATTCTGTTTTAACAAGCCCTGCAGGTGATTGATTCCAGGGCACATTCCATTTTTGAGAACCATTGAATTGATGAAAGACTAGTCAGGAAGGCATTGTTTGGCAATGATTTCAGAATTCAGATGAGAGTTTCAGTTAATAAGGGCTAAGAATTAATGTAATGGCAGAAGAAATGGAGAGGAACCAAGTGCCTGTAAGATATATTTGAGAGAAATCCTGGACTTGCCCTGAATGTTGCTCTCCTGGTCACTCTGCAGAACAGAACAGCACATGGGTGTCCTGGGAGAGGGGTTCATTCCATGGGAACATCTTAGTGAACCACTTAGCAGGCTCGAGTTTACTGTGTTTTGAAGTGCTGAGCCCCCACTTTTGTTTTTCCCTTTAGCCTGGGCATTTTTAAGTACACACACCCAGGTGACAATAGGGCCAGGTAAGATACAGAGGAGGTTGGTTGTTTGGCAAGGAGCCAGGTCTCTGTTCTCAGCCCACTTCCTGGTAATGAAGGACAAGCCCTAGCCGTAGAATGGGTGGTTGTCAGAACAGGTGAGAGGTGAGACTGCGTACCTAGTAGGTTTAGGCAAGGCTGACTGGAAGGTGTGAGTGGGAATTTCTGAGCTAGATGATGGCTTTCTGTTCTTAGGATAGAATCCATGTGTTCGATCAGGAAGGTTTTACAGATACAGTTGTTCTGGATATTCGAGGACCTTGAAGCCAAGCCAGGCTAAAGAGTTTGATCTTCATGTGGAGGGTGACAGGCAGCCACGATAAGCTCTTGATCTGTTTTTGGAAGAGTTGTTTACCTGCTTTTTGCCCTCATTTCTCCCACACTTTGCCTTATCACATTGCCAGCACTGAATGCCATATTCCCTTGATTACCATATTCCATCTCCCCAACTTAGATATGTTGTTGTTAAATGCTGTTGCATTGTTTCTGACCCATAGTGACCCTGTACAGGGTTTCTGAGGAGCAGCTGGTGAGCTTGAACCACCAACCTAGCAGTTCAGCACATAAACCCACAGCACCACACCAGGATTCCCAACTTTGATACAGCTAACTCCATTCGATAGGGTTTGGATGTGACCTCTGGGAGAGCTTTCCAGGACCATCCTCATTAATGTGTCCCCTGCTCCAAATCAGCTCCTGCCACAGAGAATTTATCCCAAGCTGAGATGATCTTACTTGGTGATTGGTTTACATGTTTAAGTTTGTACTGCCACCCCTTGCCCCCAGAGCAACAACAACAACAACAAAAAGAATTAAAGTGCCTTAAGAGCCCAGCACAGTAGGTTAAGTGTCAGGCTGTTAACTGAAAGATGAGCAGTTCAAACCCACTAGCTGCTACAAGGATGGACGCTGAAGCAGTCTGCTCCTGTAAAGATTTGGAACCCTATGGAACAGTTTTACACCGTCCTGTGGGGTCACTATGAGTTGGAATGGACTCGATGGCTGTGGGAAGAGTCCAGGATCCTGTGTGTCTCCTTCAAAGCCATGTTCCCAGTACCAGTAGTTAATCGGATGGCCGTTATGTAAAGATTTGGTTGTGGTGAGGCATGGGGGCATTGGGTGTAGAATTGGATTCACACATACCAGGCAACAAATGATGGCTAACTTGGACTGGAGATGAAATCAGATAAATTCAAGAGATGTTCGGGAGATAAAGTTGATAAAATATGGTGATGGCATGATACGAGAGCTAGCAAGCCGCTTTCTGCCTGAATGACATTTGTGAATTCGTAGCATTTTGTTTGACCTCACTGGAAACTTAAGAGCAAAATTCTACACTAGAAGAGGTTTGAATTCAAACTGTAGGTGCAAAGGATTCTGTTTCTACCCAGAGCAGCTCTACCATCTATCCATCTGTGCACAGTTTCCCTGCCTATCATCTATTCATCAGTATTCACTGCGTGTGTGCTATGTTCTAGGTAGTAGACCCCCTCTTTACATAGAGAGGGAAGATAGACAAACATGCCAGTAAATAAATGCACAAGACACTCTTGTAATAAGTGGTATAAAGAAAATTATGACAGTGGATAGGTTTGAGGTGGAATCAGGGCAGGATGCCCGGAGCTGGTGCTGTTTGAGCTGATACCTAAATAACAAAGTTTGTTGTTGTTGTTTAGACTCATGAATCAAGTTGGTTCTGACTCATAATGACCCGTTTAGGGGTTTCCAAGCAGTGACTGGTGAGCTTGAACTGTTGACCCTCTGGTTCAAACCAACCTTGCAGTCCAGCGCATTAACCCACAGCACTATGCTAGGACTCCCCAAACAAATACGTTTTGTTGTTGCAGTGTCATTGAGTTGGTTCCGACCCATAGCGACCCTGTATAGGGTTTCTGAGGAGCGACTGGTGAGCTTGAACCACTGACCTTGTAGTTCAAACGGCTTTGCAGTCTGGCACATTAACAACCCACACAGCGCTACACTAGGACTCCCAAAACCAACAAGGTACCAACCCTGAAAAGACCTAGGGGCACAAAGGGTGGGTCTATCTGGGGCCTTGGAAACCTTGAGGAGCAATGTTACTCTATCCCGTAAGCAGTGCACTGAGAGGTTAGTTTGAACTGAAAGGGTCACTGAAAACTCAGTTTGAACCAAAAGGTTGACTGAAAGGTCAGTTTGAACAAAGGTTGGCAGTTTGCAGTTTGAAATCAACAGTCACTCCTCGGTAACCCTATTCAGGGTCGCTGAGTCGGAACTGACCCGGTGGCACTTAACAACAACATAGGGTTACTATGGGAGTCCCCGTGTGGCACTGTAGGATAAGCAGTGGACTGCTAACCACAAGTCCGGTAGTTCAAACCTACCAGCTGCTCCTTGGAAACCCTATGCAGGGCTGCTGAATCACAACCGACTCAACAGCACTTAACAACTTGACAGTATGGTTGCTATGATTTGGAATCACCTCGATGGCCCCACGTGGGTGTGTGCATTATTTGTCAAAGTTTTTCACGCCCCCACAACAGACTCATGAAATAGGATGTTGTTGTTGTCATAAAGTCGGTTCCGACTCTTGGTGACACGACTATGTGTCATGAAGTCGGTTCCGACTCTTGGTGACACGACTATGTGTCATGAAGTCGGTTCCGACTCTTGGTGACCCTGTACAGGATTTCTGAGGCTGTAAATCTTTACGGGAGCAGAAAACCTCATCTTTCTCCTGCGGAACAGCTGGTATTTTCGAACTGCTGATTGTGAGATTAACAGTCTGATTTGTAACCACTATGCTTCGTGTTACCATTTTACAGACAAGAAAATGGAAGCTCAGAGAGCTGGTAGTGACAGTTAGGATTTCAGCCTGTCCACACACACACGCACGCACATGCACGCCTGCACGCACACCCTCTCCGTGTTAAACTCACCAGTAGTAAAGGCGATAGAAATATTATGTGTTTTTCTCTTGATCCCTAGGTCACCGTCATCCAAGATAGGTCTCAAGAGTGGCCTGGAAGAATGTACAGTGGCATTGAACTTGTTTCTAAGTAACAGATTTTCAGATGCCTTAGAATTACTCCGTCCATGGTAAGTACTTTTTTTTTGGCTAAAATGTTTATTTGCAGGTGCTTCTGTTTGTTGGCATGTTTGTGAGTTGATTTATCTGCAATTCCATCTTGGCGTTTGTAAGCTCATTTGGTGGACAGCTCTTACCAAACTACCATTGGTCAGTTTTAATATCCAGTTAAGCAATCTGTTTTTCAAATGTAGTCATTCTAAGCTTTTCTACTTCTTTCTCAGATTTCAAGTTCCATTCTTACTTGTTCAAATATCCTCTTAAGTTGCTTTGTAGGGCTTTAATTTTGTTGTCTTCAGTAAAATATCTTTGTGAATGTTCCTCTTAAGCTTAAATATAGTTGAACAACAATTTCCTTCTTTGAAATGAAGGATGGCCTAACTAAAGTATGCTAATCCCAAATGCTAAATTGATGCTACAGTGGCCCATAGCCTACTGTAGTTGTCCAGTGTTGGGTCTGACTCTCATCTCTCTGCAGCCATGCAGTCTCTCACCCCACCGGGGCTGTCTCCTGTGTCTGGTCTCAGTTCCTTTCTCTATCTGTGTGTCTCCCTCGGTCTCTCTAACCTTACCTCTCTCTGTCCCCTCTGCTGCCCTGACCTGTTTCTTTCCATTTTTTAATTGTCTTTTTTTTTTATTCGTTTGCTGACACTAACTTCCAGCTAGTCATCATATGAAAAGAAAGTAAATCATATTGTATTATATTTACTTAAGTTTTATAGTCTGATCTCTGTGTGTGTTTTACTGTTAGAAATACTTTTTTTTTCTCTTTAGTCTTGATGTAAAAAAAAAGGTTTTCCTTTTTTCCACTTGGAAACTTTTTCTCTTGGAAGAGCTCTCAGGTAAAAATGTGAGGTCTGAAACCGCAATTAATGATTAATGTTGGACTACTCTTAGTCCTTGTGTGCCCACACAGTTCAGGACAAGCTACAAATTGCCTAAAGATGGTTAGACTCTTTCCAGGGGGGAGGGGAGAGGGAATGTGACTTGGTTGTGTTTTGCATACCTGTAGGCTCTGCATTGATTTTTGAATGAGAAACAAGACAGAGCACCTATACTTCAGAACTTCAAAATAACCAATGAACAGAATTTAAATTTTAATTAAGAGGTCATAAGGTTTTCATAGAAATGGAGACCATTTAAAGTCTGTTAAGAGTTGAAACAGTTCTCACAGATAACTTGATCATTTAAATTATAATGAACTTTCCTCAGGAATCACAAATACTGAAATTCCTAGTATTTCAAGATTACAAAAGAGGTCTAGAGTCTGCTTTTGTCAGGGCCCTCTGAGGCCGACTTCATTTACTGCAGAACAATTACTTCTTCCTTTTGGCCTTCTGCAGGAGAGGGGAAGTGACGATTTTAACTAAGTCTTTATTTCTCAAAAAAAGTATCCGAATTCCTCTGCTACAAAGTGCATTTGCAATGGCCTGCATTTTGGCTCGTATTTCAGAGCAGAACACCGTGCATATTGCCCTTTGTTCAATCGGGAGAAAGTGACTATCTGGGAAAAATTGCTTCCGTTTGAATCCTACTGTAGGAAATGAATCCACAGGGCTCCCCCTTGTGCTCAGACAGGGGAAAGCATATCTGCTTCTGTTTCCAACTTGTGACATTTTGTTGAGCCTGTGTGGGTTTAAATTGGAACATGGTTGGTACTTGAGTTTTTAGAGTGTACCTTTCACAGCCCATATAATCTCAGTAGCTTGAAATTCACAATGTGCATTTATTAGGGTTTCTTGTGTTTAATATCAAAAAGACCTGTGCTGCTTCAGCAGGTGACTTGAAATGTCCTCACCCCCTGTGTTCTCTCTAGGGCAAAGGACAGCATGTACCATGCCTTAGGCTATAGCACCATTGTGGTGTTGCAGGCTGTCATGACCTTTGAGCAACAGGACATACAAAACGGCATTTCTGCTATGAAGGACGCTTTGCAAACCTGTCAAAGGTAAGGCTGAATGATTAGGTACTGGAGATAAGAGCTTCGGCTTCAGAGTTTACGTAATAACGTCAAACACTAGCATTAGGACAATGTTCTATGAGTAGATGCATGCATGGATCGACACACAGGCTGACCGAGTACAAGAGGATGTTTGCGCACGGGTACTGACCTTTGCTACATATATCTATGAATGCGGTGGAGCATACAGGGGCACAGTTAGGAACACTTCTTCAGGGAACAAGTTGCTGGGCCTGGGGGCTCAGGACCATAGACTCAGGGACACCAAGGTCAGTTAGCATGACATAGTCCACAAAGATAATGTGCTGTGTCCTACTTGGGTGAGCAGGGACTGGAATCTTAAAAGCTTGTGAGTGGTCACCTAGCTTCAGCTGAACAGGAAAAGGTAAAAACATTCACTGCCCTCGCCGCCCAGGAGACAAGCTAGAATGTTAATCAGGTTACTGAATGGAACCAATCCTCTGATTTCCCGCCTGTCTTCAAACCCCTCCCCAATTCTGACCCCAGTAAGTCTGTACTGCCGTGTATTCGGTGCTCAGAATCTGGAGAAGCTAGCTCCTCTGAGCCAGCTGGCTTCATAAAATCTGAAACTCTGCGTCACCTCTCCAAGTGGCTTCGGTTTCTTCGACTATGGAGCATTTCTTTGACGATGGAGCAAGAGCTGCCGTGATACTCTCAGGCCCAGGGCTGCCCAGACACTCTCTAATCTAAAACTATTGGTCTCTCGTGGACTGGAGGAAAGAGGAGTAAAGAAAATAAAAGCTGCATGGAAAGATTAGTCCAGTGGACTAATAGAACATGTGAACATCAAGTCTCCACAGCCCTGAGACCAAAAGAACTAGACGGTGCCTGGTTAACACTACCAACAGCTCTGAAAGGGAGCACATTAGAAGGTTCTGGATAGAGGAGAAAAATGTGGATAGGCCAGGGGTACTGCTTGGATAGAGATCGCTGGAAACATTAAGACTCTGGCCTTAGTCACCTTTCAGGTCTGGAAATGAACTCACTCCCGTGCCTCAGTTTTCAGCCAAAAAAGTTGATCTATATGTGAAACACTAACACGAGTCAGGTACACACACCATTTGAGATCCAAAGGGCAGCATTTACCCAAGGGCAAAGGTCAGAGGAGGGTTGGAAAGAAAGGAATGGAAGCAGGAAACCCAGGGAAGAAGTGGAGTAAGTGATGTTACATTGTGGGGACTGTAGTCAAACAGATCAGCAAAGTGTGTGTGAGTTGTTGAATGGCAAACTGATCTGCTCTGTGAGCCTTCACCAAATTCATAATGAAAAGTAAAAACAAAAATATATTAGGAATAATAGATGCCAATTTCTATTGAGGGAGTCCTGGTGTGGTGCTACAGGATAATGCGCTTTGACCACAAGGTCAGGTTGAGCCACAAGGATGGCGCTTCAAACCCACCAGCCGCTCCTTGGAAACCCTGTACAGGTGGCTATGAGTCAGAAGTGACTCGATGGTACTTACCAGCAACAACAATCTCTATTTGGATAAACACTGGCAGCTGTACCTTCCACTTTTCTCTTGGTAACTTGGGGCCTGAGCTTCAGAGATGGTCTGAGGGGAGATTTTAGCTCTGCAAAGAAAAGGATCGTTCTTGCTTTATATGGGGAGGGGAAGTTTTGCTTGCCTAACAAAGGGCAGACCTGTAGACTTTGGTGACAATGAGATGGCTTTTGAGTTTGATTTTAAGCCTTGCTGTGTATATATAAGACTCTGAGCAAAAGCTGTCATTATCATGGCTGAGTTTTAACATTGGTTAAAATAGATCCTAATGGAATTATGTTGCAAGCCCCTCAAAAGAAGAGAGTTCCCAGATAGAGCACTTTTATCTCCATTCCTAATCTGTGAAGGCTCTTAATGTAGAGACATCCTACATAGATGGGAAACAAGTTCTTTGCAGGCTTAGTTTTGTTTGGGTTTGTCCACTCATGTTTTTATTCAGTAAACATGGCCGAGTGCCCACAGGGGGCCAGTCCAAGACTGGAAGCTGGGTCTGTAGGACTCAAAGGGTGGTTTTCACCATATAGACTTTCAAGTTTCGAGTTTTGGTTTGGCGATTCTTTGGTCGGTGACTGAAATGAAGATCAAATGAAAAGGCACTCGGCCTGGTGGGTTATATTTCCTTTCCATTTCCTCTGTCCCCTTCTCCTTACTCAATGCAGATACAGGAAAAAATGCACGGTGGTAGAGTCTTTTTCAAGTCTCCTTTCCAGAGGATCATTGGAGCAGCTGACTGAAGGTAAGAGTCATTAACAAAATTTCATTTATTCCTTTCTTTCAAAATTGAAAGGTGATTATGCTTATAAAATACAATACCAAAGTGTATAAAGTAAATGGAATGTCTTTTCCCCTTGCCGGTCATACTTCCCTCCAGAAGTAACCATGGTTAATAGCTGGTATTGAAGTCTTGAACACTTTCTGTGTACATACCAAAGTATATAGAAACTGCCTTCAGGGTTTTTGTGCTGCTCATTATGTTTTGCCAGCATAGTATTACACTCTACTCCTTGTTCTACATGGCGATTTTTGACATTGGTCTTTTCTGCGATCAGTCCATGTAAATGCTCTATCATATTCCATAGGATGGGTGGACCATAAATGTTGGCGTTGTCTCTGCTAAAGGAGGGTTACGTTGTTTGTATCTTTTCACTGTTAAAAATCCTGCTGTCCTAAAATCCTTGTCCCTTCGTCTTCCTGAGTTTTTTAAAGTATTTCATGAGATCAATTTTTAAAAGAGGAATTCCAGGGTGTGAGAGTGTGAAAATTTTTAATATTTATCGCTATTGCCAATCTTGTCCCTGAAGTGTTAGGTAGTTTATATTCTTACTGTGTATGTATGAGAGTTTCTGCTTTCCATACGATAGTAAAATCTTTGTCCTAAGGTCAAAGTAATTTTCTACTTGTAAAGAAAGTAATACTACTTGACAGTAAGGAAACTGTTTGGTTTGTGGATCTTTAGGAATAGTCAAGAGTCCAGGATGGGAGGAAATGAGTCCATTTGTCGCCCCCACTGAGATTAGGGTAGAGGTTCTGCCATCAACATTTGCTGAGTACTACAGTGCACCCAGAGTGGTTTAGAATGGAGCACCTGGAAAATTGCAGAGAAGAGCAGTGGTGCTTTTTAAATGTGACCGTTATAGAGGGAAGCTGTGCCATCCCAGGAGACCTTGTGTATTGTTATCTCCGAGCTTATTCTCTGGAAGCAGTAGCATGCAATACTGGAAGGAGTCGTGGCTGCTTCCGCTACACGCAATTCTGCTTACCACAGTCGGAGTCATTCCTGGTATGCAAGTGTGTGTCAGGGACATCCTTAATGATGAAGTTTTGTTTCCTGTGTTGGAAGGGTGCTGTCACCTAGCTTGTGATGGCGTGGGGTGGGGACTTTTGCACGCGTGAAGTTCAGGTGATGATTACAGGAGAGACCACTGAGACTTGAGCATATCTGTGGGACTTATTCTGAAAGGGTGTGTGATGTTGGCCCTGGGATGACATTTCATTGGTGACATTTCATTGGCCACTCTGGACAGCTAAAGCCCTTCTTTTCCTCCAAGAACCTACGAGCATTTATTTATTTATCCCGTTGATTTTAGATATCTTCAGCATTTTCTGTCTTTGGGACATTTATGGGAATGGGATCCTTGAGGACATTAACGGGGGTCAGTGGGAAATGAAATACGCCTGTGAGGAATCTGACTTGTTTCTCTGTGGTTCCCTTTCTGTTCCCCTCTAGTGACTTTTTCAATGTCTTTTCTCTCTCCCTTACCTAACACCATGCCCTCACCCTGGCCTTTTCATTGCAGTATGAAGGCTGACTTTTGAGATTTTTTTTTTTATTTGACTTAGATTTTGGGGGAAATGGCATGCTGTTTTTGGTTTGAATGTGAGTAATAATAATAATAATTTTAAAAAATAATGATAATGCCCATTTTTCTTAAAAAGCACTCTTTGTATACCAGACCTGTCCTTGGTGCTTATTTTAATATTATCCAATCTAATTCATGCTGCCTCCCCTTTATAGACTAGGAACTGATGTTCAGAGGGATTAAATGGCCCAGTTAGCATATGGAAAGACCTAAGCCACATATCCTTTTGTTGTACCCTACTTTCATTTCTGTAGGCAGGTAGAAAAGGGCACAGAATGTGCCGTACGTAGATGAGGACAATGTTGAATCATCCCTGTGTTCAACATCTTGAACAAAGATGATACTGTGTTCTTTATGAAATGTCTTTGGAACATGGCATGTTATAAAATCTGACAAAGGCAGGCAATTGCTGCTTACTAATTATTAAGAAATAAAATTGTTTGTGGGGGATGAATAAGCCCCTGCTACTATTGTCTTGAGATAATCTTTAAACCTTAAACGGAAATAATATAACTGATATAAAAACATCCCCTGAAGCTATCTTATGCTCTTTAAAGATCTATTTATGTGAGATCAGCAACAGACAACAGCAGCTTGAAAGACCAGATAGGAAACATAGGGGAGCTGAAATATGTGAGAATGCACCAGTCCCATTGAAGGGTACGTGTAGCAATTGTTGGATTGGTGTATGTTCTGTTGTGTATACTCAACAACAGTAAAAATAACATAATTGATAAGCTAAAATAGCTTTTGACTATAGGCTTTCATTATAAAAAAAAAAACCTAAAACATTTATCTTGAAGTGTAACACTGGCTGTGATAGAATAGTATTCCGAGGCCTCAGGGTAATGATATGATAATGATATGATAATTATGATAACACAACTGTCATTCAGATTTATGTACCCACCATCAAAGCCAACGATGACGAAATGGAAGAATCCTACCAGCTTCTTCAGTATGAAATTGATCAAATATGCAATGAAGATGCATTGATAATTACTGGCGATTAGAATGCAATAGTTGGAAACAGAAAGGATCAGTAGTTGAAAAATACGGCCTTGGTGATAGAAGTGACGTGTGAGATTGCATGATAAAGTTTTGCAAGACCAATGACATTTCCATGCGAGTACCTGGTTTTCAGCAACATAAATGGAAACTATACACGAGGATCTCACCAGATGGGATACACAGCAATCAAATTGACTGCATCTGTGGGAAGAGACAGTGGAGAAACTCTGTATAAATCAGCCAAAACAAGGCCAGGGGCAGACTGTGGAACAGACCATCAATTGCTCTCATGCAAGTTCAGGCTGAAGTTGAGAAAGGAGAAAAACAACTCCATTAGAGCCAAAACATGACCTTGAGTATATCCCACCTGAATTTCGAGACCACCTCAAGAACAGATTTGATGCTTTGAACACTAATGACCAAAACTAGAGGTAGGATGACATCAAGAACATCATTGATGAAGAAATCAAAACGTCATAAAAAAGACAGGAAAGAAAGAAAAGACCAAAGTGGATGTCAAAAGAGACTGACACTTCCTCTTGAGTGTAGAATAGTTAAAGCGACTGGACGAGATCCATATTTGTGCCCATTCCAAAAGAAAATGATCCAACAGAAGGTGGAAATTATTGAACACGATAATTAATGTGACATGCAAGTACAGTGTTGCTGAAGGTAATTAAAAAAATGGTCTCAGAAGCACATTGACAGGGAATGTCCAGAAATTTAAACTGGATTCAGAAGAAGACATGAAATTCAGAAGAAGAGGGATATCATCTCTGACATCAGATGGATTTTGGCTGAAAGTAAAGAATCCCAGAAAGATGTTGTTGTTAAGTGCCGTCGAGTTAATGTCGACCCATAGCAACCCTGTATAGGGTTTCCGAGGAGCAGCTGGTGAGCTTGAACTGCCGACCTTGCAGTTCAAATGTCTTTGCTGTCTGGCGCATTAACCCACAGCACCACATCAGGACTACAGAAAGATGTTTACTTGTGTTTTATTGACTTCACAAAGGCATTCAGCTGTGTGGATTATAAGAAACTATGGATAACATTGGGAAGAATGGGAATTCAGAACACTTAAATTAAGTTTAGACAGAACCTGTACAAAGACCAAGAGGCAGTCATTTCAGCAAAACATGAGGATACATTAGACAAATCTGCTACAAAAAACCTCTTTAAAGTGTTAAATAGCAAAGGTGTCACTTTAAGGACTGAAGTGTGCCTGGTCCAGGCCATGGTACTTTCATTTACTTTATATGCATGTGGAAGCTGGACAATGAATATAAAATACTGGGGAATAATTGATGTGTTGGATTTTGGTTTTATCAAAGACTATTGAAAGGACCCTGGACTGCCGGAACATACCAATGTGTGTGGGAAAGAAGTACGGCCATAATGTTTTTTGGAAGCGAGGATGGTGAGACTTTGTCTCTTGTACTTTGGGGGTATTATCAGGAGGGACCATCCTACAGAAAAGGACATCATGCTTGGTAAAGTAGAAGGTCAGTGAAAAAGAGGAAGACCCCTACTGCGATGGATTGACATATTAGCTGTAACAGTGAACTCAAACTTAACAACAGTTGTGAGCAGGACAGGACAATGCTTTGTTCTTTTGTGCATGATGTTGCTGTTAGTTGAGATAACTCAGTGACACCTAACAGGAACAACATAACCTATTCTGAAGTACAGATATATTTACAATGTTGTATCCAAACATTTTAGTGTATCATGAGGTATTTCCTTAAGTGCACTAAGGAATTTATGAAGAACAGATAGGTACGGGTAGGTACCTACTCATAAATGCTTCATGGCTGTTTGTGAGAGCTGAGAACTGCTCAATATAATTCAACCCAGGTGAAGAATTAAGACTTTTATAAATTGTTGTTAAGTGCTGTTGAGTTGGTTCTGACCCAGAGTGACCCTATACAGGGTTTCTGAGGAGTGGCTGGTAAGCTTGAACCACCGACCTTATGGTTCAAATCCACCTTGCAGTCCAGTGCATCAACCCACAGTGCTACACCAGGACTCCAACTTTATAAATTAAGTTGCATTTTATTCCTAGTGAGTTTTGCTGTCACTGCAATCCAAAGAGACTCTGTGTTCAAGGGAGCATGTCAAAACATTGTAGCTGGAGTGTGTGATTTATTTTTCCTCTTGGTAATTTCCATTTACATCCATGAGTGACTGGTTGTCTGAAGGAGTGTGCATATTTAATGGAACTTTTCCTAGTTTTAACATGGAATACACCCGCTCTTCTTTCCTGGTTAGTGTGAATGGGTTTCAAATTGCCTTTGAAAAGCAGATATTTACATACAGCATCTAGCGTGTGAAAGATTTAATATGAAGAATGGTTCTATATTGAATAGAGAGTTCAAACTTTCTTGCCTTTTGTCTCTGTCTTCTAATTATGTCCTTTATGCAGCTCTTAGGTCTCTCCATCCTAAGCTTAACCCTAACTCATCCGCCCTCCTGGTCAGTTCTCTGCAAGGACATACCATTGCCTTTCAATCAAGTCGAGACTCTGATGTTCAAAGTCTTCTATGATTTAGCACGGGAGGCACTCTGGTAGTGTAGTGGTTATGAATCAGGCTTCTAACTTCAAGGTCAGCAGTTGGAAACTGCCAGTTGTTCTGCAGGAGAAAGATGAGGCTTTCTGCTCCTGTAAAGATTCACAGCCTTCGAAACCCTGTACAAGGTTGCTATGAGTCAGAACAGGCTCCATGGCACACAGCCACCACCACCACCACCACTAAGTTTATTGCCAACTCCTTCCTTTACATTCCGCAGTCTTCAGGCACAGGTGGACCACTGGCCCTTCCCTGAAGGTGTTGTGTGCTCTCTTTCTTCCGTGTTTTGCTCATGCTGTTTCTTCTACCAGCACTGACTTTATCTTCTTCTGCACATGGCTTAAGCCAGCAATAACATCTAACGCTTCCCAGTTTTATTGCAAATTTACTCAGGAAAAGAGTATTAAAGAGACTCCGTAGAAATAAAAAGTTACCAATTTTTCTTCCACTGAGCACATTAATCCCGATTGTTGAGACTTCCAGAATGTGCATGGGCCACAACATCGCAAGGCTTGGTGTGGCTCCACATATAAGCATGCTGGTGGGGAGTTTTGCTGCAAAGTTGCTTTTTTGCAAATTAAACATTTGGAACATGAGCTTGGCAGAAAGTTGAACCAGTTTATGGGCACCAGTGGGTTGTGGTGTGTGAACTGGGTGTGTGAGTGAAAGAAAGCAAGCACTAGTCTTATCCAATTTGATTCAACAGCCTTCCCAATAACACACCAAGTACCTTATTTTTCAGTCCCTAACTTCACTTAAAGCTGTTCTGCTTTCTAAGCTAGTACCCAGGAGTGTGACCTTGTACTGGCAGGTCAGCATGAATGTGAATGGGAGTTGTTAAATTCTCCAGTGCTAACTGAAGTCCTGGTGTGGCACTGTGGGATAATGCACCAGACTGCAAAGCCATATGAACTACAAGCTCGGTGGTTCAAGCTCACCAGTCACTCCTTGGAAACCCTATGCAGGGTCGCTATGGGTCGGAACCAACTCGACGGCACTTCACAACAACAACAACTGGCTAGTGAGCCCTGCCTTCAGCGCCCCCCTGAAGCCCTCAGTTGTGCAGTCGGTGCCTTATTAGCACAGAGAGGTCAGCTAGCTTGCTCAGGATCCTATAGCTCACATATGGCAGTCTCTCCTTCAACCTAGGCTGTTAAATACCCCAGCTCATTTACTTCAATAATAGGCCAACTTACATCTCACAGACAAAGCTGGAATCTGCTGGATTTTGTTTATGTCAAAAAGAAAAAAGATTTTTTTTTCTCCCCAGTCTCTGCAATTGTGAGGTTGTTGAAGAAGATAGTCCATGTATTTTGGGACACTCCACATGTCTTTGGGATGTACGTCGCTTTTGTTCTTGTGAGATGTGTTTTCCCAGCACTCTGGGGAATTGCTGTCTTGTCTTCAAGTTAATCATGTACCTGATCATTACCGTGGTTGTTATACCTTCATATTTGGATTGGTAAATTTCATTTATCCTCTCCTCCAAATCTTTATTAACTGTTAAACTTGCACGTTATTGTTAGGTTAAAAGAGAAATAAGTCAATGGTGGCCTTTTTTAAAAAAGAGTGTTTGTTTTTTTTAAATGTCTTATTGTGAATTATGTGATAGCTTTTAAATTTTGGTTTTCTCCTGGGAGCTGAGTCTGTGTGTCTGGCACCAAGTATGCAGCTCTTTGCAGTTATCCTTGAACGGAACAAGTCCTACATTTCGGGAAGATCTTGATGAGAGAGATCAATACTGAGGTTTTCATTGTGCTTTTTACAGAAGCACCAAAGAGGTCTAGGTTTTTGTGTTTCTCTCTCTGTTGAGCTCATTGATCCTTCAGTCTTCTCTGAGCATCTCAGAGCAATTACTGTGGATGTGGGATTGTTTTTAATGCAATTTGATTTGTTTTAATAGAGGAAATGCATGCCGAGATCTGCTATGCCGAGTGTCTCCTTCAGAAAGCAGCACTGACGTTTGTGCAGGTAATGAATGCTTGTGCAGGTAATGAATGCATGTGCAGGTAATGAATGCATGTGCAGGTAATGAATGC